GATCGGTTGGACGTGGTTGAGGCGGTGTCGCTGCTTCGTTGTCACCTTGTCCGAGATCTTCTCGAGGACCCTCGCCATGGTGGACAGCACTTCCATCGTGTCCGTGGGGAGCGGTGGATATCCACCCTCCATCTTGACGTCGTCCTTCGACATCCTTCCGACCGTCTCGCGTCGGGTACTTCCTTCCTTGGGCGGCCTTCTCCGGGGCGGCTTCTTCTTCTGGGCAGCCTTCTTCCTGAGGCTGCTGCGCGCTGCTTGACCATTTCCTTCTGCTGAAAACGGGGTGTCCTTCAACCAACAAGTGCTACCAAATGTGACGGCGCGTCCGCTGTCGCTGGCTGGCTTGAGAGAAGAAGAGGTGATTGAACAATGACTTGGTTAGCCTGAGCTTAGACTTGTTGCTAGACACGCGCACTAGCTACTAACTCAGACACAGATCTAACCCTAATCCTCGTGCGGTCCTTACGGAGTAGATCCACGTGTGCACAGCGACACGTAGACCAGAGACGGACCTCTGAATCTCGAGATTCGCCACACACCTCGTCGACGAGAGGCGCGACCACTTTGCTCCAACGCCCGTTCTTGTCCTTGGAACCTGCTCATTTTTGTGCTCAGCTGGGTTTCCAGGGCGTGACAGTGGAGAAATGTTAGCTGCAAGCATATTATCTCCACTGCGGTGCCGCCAGCAATGACAGCCAAAGCAACAATCAAGACACCAACGCTGTCGTCAAACAGCACAGCGTCGTCACCGAATAGCCCTCCATAGCGGCAACCCTCCATTTCTGGAGTCAGCGATCGCCTTGGCGATGCGTTGAACCGTATTGTCAACCTGATTGCCATAGCTATAACGCCACGTGATACGCAACACCGGGCATTTGCGATAGTGGCGCAGAGATGGCGATGCTGTGACCAGGTCCGATAGAAAAGAAATCACATGACGGGAATACCGGTACTACATTCTTCCTGCATCATCAAGGTCCTGTGCATGTACGTCCTTGGTTATGCACGTGCGATCCTACCTTATTACTGGTAATAGTCTGTCTTACCGTCATGCGACTTGAGACACGACTTAGTTGCTCGAAACTGTTGAAGTATCGCATGTGGAAAAGACCATCACTCGTTGCTGTGGCCCAACACTGATGCGTCAGCATTACAACTTGGGACAGCGTGTCAATCGAGCCACTAGCCATGGCGTCGGCTGGTTCATCATTTTTGGTTTTGCATGCGCAGCGACAAGAAAAAGTACACGCGTCGTTTGCGCACTTTGGCGCGCGAGGCTGCGATGCCGCAGTGCTGTCTGTACACGCCTGGCAACGAACGCAACCCGACGGCGACTATTGACGGCATCGAGATGGCTTCATGGCCTCTCTCGCCCGACACCGTGGCGGCGCTCACGACCAAGTACGCTGGCCGCGTCCCGGCCAACGATGTCATCCTCCACGACTTCTGCAACACTACTGAGTACGCGGATGGCTCCTGCCTCGTCGGCCAACTCGGCATTGGACAGGCGTGCAATGAGTACGGCCTCATGTTCGACATGACGCTGGCGCATTTTGCGATCGACTTGAACGGTGACGCATCGACGTTGACACTGACAACGCAGCCACCGCCTGACACCTTTGCCACGGTCGTCTACTTCTTCCCGTCCACCTGCGTCGGCGGCGCCGTCACGATCTCGCACGGCCACCGGACAACGACGTTCGAGGCACTTGACGGGTGCTTTCTCTCGTTCTACAGCGTATGTGACGTGGCCGTGGCGCCCATCACGTCGGGACACCGGTCTTGTCCCGTGTATTATGCCGCCTACACAAGCGACGACGACGTGTTCACCTGGAACGTACCCACGCCACGGTTCGCGCCGCTGCCGCTGCCATCGATCCAAGAGCTCCAGAGTGCTGCTCGGCACTTCGATCCTCAAGGTTACAATGGCGTCCTCATCGAGCTCGAGACACGGGGCTCAATGCCGACGTTTGGTTCGCTCACGGGGCATGACAAGGCAGTCGTCGACTTACTGCTTGAAGCCGACGTCTTTGACATTGCACTTGTGCGCGCGGGCGACAACGACACGAACGAGACTATGCCGCCGCTGCCCGAGACGTTTCATCCACTATGCCAAACGCCAGCGCTCGTCCAGGAGGTCTATCACCAGACACCAATCAGCGAGTTTGCAGCCGATGCGGACAAGTACAAGTCACCCAGCTGCTTCCTACTTGTGTGGCCCAAGGCAGTCCGCGTGCGCATCCTCGGCTACGACTGCACGATTGCGCTCTTGCGCGCCCATGTTGACGGTGACGTGACCGACGAGTTTGGTTACGGGTCGCTCCACGGCATCTTTGAAGCGGCCCTCCGGACCTTCTACCCTCGGCCCGACAACTACTACGGCCGCAACCCACCACCACAAGTCACGTACGCGATGGCGTCGGTCCTCTACGACCACGGCGACGTGGAGCTTATCGAGGCGTTTATGGACGTTCACGACCATTGGGCCGACGACGAGAACATGGCAAAGTGGTTCCTCGCGGTGCTCCGACGCTTTGGCGCGTCTCGTTTCCGGCGCCAACTCCGAAAGGCTGCCGTGTCGATTTCCTTTGTGGCTCACTTGGTGCATCTCGCGACCGCCGGCGACGCCCTCGCGCAGACGATCGTATGCGACTGTGTCCCGCTGTGGTGGTCGTACTTGTTGTACCAACTCACGGCGACCGATTGCTCGACAAAGAAGAAAAGACTTGGTCATTTGCTCGACATTGAAACGTACATGCTCGAGCACCCGATTGATGTGGCTGCGTCGACGCACCTCCGTTTGCACTTGCCCGACGTTGTCGTACGCAAGGTGGCGACGTACCTCGCGCCGCCACTCGCGCCACTGCTGGACACTGTCCGAGCCGACAAGTGCCTCATTAGCTGCCTTCCGGCCGTCGTGTGGTCGCGGCAAGACTCGCTGTGCAGCGAGCGCCTCGCTACATGTGTTGCACTTGCCGTCGAATATCTGCGCTCGGGCGCCGAGCGTGCTAGCTGCTACAATGGTCATGCGCTGTATCTGGCGCTACTGACGGCCGGGACGCCAGCATTTACTATTGTTGACGATGATATGCAAACTTGGCGCCACAGCTTTGACTTCAAAGGCGAGTGCACTGGAGTCGACAAGAGGTCATCCTCGACGGCGATGGACATGCTCTTCGTGGAAGAGTACGAAGACAACGAATAAAGCTAGTGTCCACTGCTCTACGCCCTATTGCGTCTCTAATACACGTATGTATATATGTGCATGACGCAGTCTTGTGGTTGGATGCAGATGTCGTCGCAATATCCAACACTGAGCCGTTTCTCGCAGCAAAGCTGTGGTGTTGGACCACGGCCAAGCAAGTGCGCCAACTTGAGCTGGCAGTGATGCACGTCCATGAGGCGCCTCGAACGTCGTCGTCCGGTGGCCGTGCGAAATCATGACGGCGCCGCCAACGCAGCTGGACGGGAAGAAGTACATGTACGTTGTACCTACATATGTACTAGCTAGACAACTACGACACACTAAGATTCGATCGATACGATTGGTTAGAC